TCCTCTGACATATATGTATCACAGCTAGCTACTACTGTCTAAACTGAATAATTTTGTTTACTTTTTTATTTCCTTTTTTTTTTTTTTAAGACATGAGTGTTAATCTTATCTATAATAGAAAAGACAGATGTTATGGAAATAGTAAGCCACACACAGATTTTTCTTTGACAAGATAGGCAATGTTTCACAGAGGAATATTTGAACAATGAAATATACATTGAAACATGCAGGTGAGTTGTAAATACTGCTGAATGATATATTAATATAAGAGCAATTATGCTTTATAGATCATTATAAACCATGATTTAAAAGAGAGATATTGCACTGATTATTAGCTTAGAAGTTTAACAAAAGAAATGAACAGGTATTCTTCTCAGTTAAATTGGTGAGTTTTTGTCACACTCAGAAAACCTTTGTTGAAATGAGTAATCTCTAAACATCTTTTAAGATGCTATTTAAAATACACCTGGCTGATTTGGAATACCCTTACTCATTCTTTTGGGGTTTGTTTGTCTGAAGCCAAGTGGCATATCTGGAAGTGATCTTTCATGCAACTGTTAAGAGACATGGATTCTAATCCTGCAGAAAGGATGCCCAGTTTACCTACCTGAAATCAACAATATATGTGAAGCACTGGGTTTAGTTCACAGGAAGAGCAAAAATAAGGAAACCATCTTATCCAGAGTATGATCATGATTTTTTCAGAATAGTTATGGATAACACAGTCAGTTCAAATGACCTCAAAGTACTGAGTGTCAGGAACCTGAAAGGTAAAAATAAACTCTGGCAAAATACTGATGAACCTGCAAGCGAAAAATTCCACCACTGTTTGCAATTGGCAGTGCCATGTTCCAAGCCATTTGTTGATCACCAGCCAGACTACTTTACAGTCCATACAGTCCTTTAATTCAAATTGACTTCCATTTGAATTTTCCTACTTAAAAATAACTATTTTCTTTTCTTTCCCTACCTTTTCTTTTTCCAGTGTTCTAAATTTATGGAAATGCACATTTTTGATAAACATTCTTTCTTGTAAAATTAAGTTGTTTTTTTTTCCCCTCTATTCTTCAGCAGCAAACTAGAATTAAAACTACTAAAATGTATGCAACATTTAAAGTAATGTGGAGCAATGAAGAGATGAAAAATGAACAAAAATTCAAGTTTGAGGTACTAGTAGAAAAAGCTGAGTTACCAGATATGGTGGGCAAACATTACTGAAGTAGAAATGAAAGCAGAACATTAAATTCTAGACAGAGATGACAGAAACAAGAGCTATTTAACAGTCATCAGCATAAAATGACAGGAATAACAAAGCATTATTTTGAGACTGAAATGTCTTACTTTCTGCACATGCACTTAAATGTGACGTTTTGGTGCAAACACTTGTTCCTTACATTAGGTCAATGGCATATTTCAAATACACAGTCAAGACCTGTAAAATTGGAGAACCAGGATCTCAGCTCTTAGATGCTGGAGCTGCTTTGCCTGTTGGAAGGAGTGGCTCTTACTATTCACAGCACAATGCTGCTCACCTAGACTGCAGTAGGTATCAAATGAGCAACAGTTGCTGCTCAGCTGCAATTGCAATAACTATTTCCTAAGAGCAGGAAGGATCATGGAGTGGCAAATGCTGAGACTGTGACAGTTTGAACAGTAGGAGAAGTAAAATCTGCTTCCCATGGAACCCTTGCTAATACCAGTGGAATAAAACTGAAATGAAATGTGACGTGACCGATTGTCCATGGAGTGCCTCTGATTGGGAAAGCTGGTGTATGTGGGCAGTGATGACTGATGTTTTACATTATCTACACATTTAGATAGAGTTTCTGCTTATGTGCAGGTCAGACTCACTGGACATACTCTGTAGGGTTGCTCTGCACTTGCATAAGTTATCACACAGGACACCTGCAGTGGGCTGTCCATGCAGAAAATCCAACTTTCTGCATTGGCCTTGGAGAAAACCATCAAACCTTCAAACTAGGTGCTCCAGCTGTATCAGGTCACATCCTGAGGTGGCAGAGAGGCCAATGCCAACTGTAGCAAACAGACCTCATGGGATGTTACAAAGAGAAAAGATTACTAGTATTTGCTAACACAGCTTTATATGTAATTTTAGGACTAATATTCAATTTTATGACTTTAACCATTTTTAAAAGAACATCAGACATTTAGGTAATTCCATTAGCTTATTTTCTGAAAAACCTTCCAGCCTAATGTTGATCAGACTTATTTTTCTGAGTATGAGAGGCAGCAGAGTATAATTCCTACCTCCCATGCCCTACTGTCCTTACCTGCTGCTGTTCCGATTTCTCCTATAGCAGCAGAAGCAAAGGATAAGAACAGGGCATAAGACAGAACTTAATGTATTTTTGCCCACTATAATGGATAGATAGCTGACATCAATATAAATTTGAAATAACTTTCTGATACCTTGGTATTCACAAAGAATTAATAAACTAAGGAAAGCTTAGAATCATCTCTGCTTCTTAATTGCTTCTCTTTGTGGGTTTTACCTACAGTAAACAACCCTTCTATTAGCTCCCAAAAATGTGAGATATATAAAAGCCTTTTAACAGAATTGGTTTTGAATGACAGTCAGTGTTTTTCAACATTTTTAGTAATCACTTTTACTGACAATTTTACTTCAAAATCTGTTAAAATCTGTTGGTTTATTGCAATCATTTTTCTCTTGAGAGGAGGAGCTAAAACACTGGTTTGTAATTGATCCCACTATTACTGCTAAGAGTATTGTTTTGACAACATTAGCCTGACTCTACCAGTTTTAGTGGATGATCTTTGCCATGCCTTCCAGCTGCCATATGACTAAGGCAAAAGTAGCATATTAATATATTCTTATGAGGTATAATTTTATTAGCTTGATTTAAAAGTAGAACTAATAAAAAATCAGAATGTTCATCCCATAAAAAGTCCAGTATCTCAGTGTATATTTTAACCCTGTGGATATGACGACAAATTACAAATGCACAAACATCTTACAAAAACAGACAATTTGACAAATTCAAGATGCTTGCAAACCAATGTGCTTTCCACTGAGAATGGAGCAAAAATCTTTGGAAGGGATGAGCTTTACAGCTAGGGAGAATATGTTCCCTTCATCTTGACAAGAAATCTAAAAATACAAATTTCTCCAGATTATTACTTCACCAAACAAACTTGTTTTCTTGACCCATCACTTAATTAAAAACTTTCCCATCTAGCAAGAAAAATGCAATTCTGTGTTCTAAATACCTAATAATAGGGGAAAGTCTCTATAAAACCCAGGCAAACCACTTGATTGTGTATAGATTAACATATCTGGCTCAGTCATAATGGTAGAAATATGGAAACCCAGAGGGAATTGTTCTGCTGTTATTAGGACTTGCTATAAATAAAATATGAAGCATATATTCCAAGAACAAATCTCCATTAGGATTACAAAGAGGTATCTAAATGAAGAGAGAATTGTCTTGCTTACAGAGCACACTGAAACAGAAAATCAGTGTAAACAAAAAAATAACTAATTTAACTTTTTTTTCTGACAATGTTTATGAATTTTACAATGGAATACTGTTTTCACTCTTGCAAGACCCCACTTAGTCAATGACTCAGACAGTATTTATATTAATTTGCCCCAATACTTTTTTAATAAGGATCATAATACTTAAAGCAAGCACAAATGTATTCTAGGTGGAGAATGGATTGAGAGCAGTCCTGAGGAGAAGGACTTGTGTGTGATGGTTGACAATAAGCTGGACATGAGCCAGCAGTGCGAGCTCACAATCCAAAAAGCAAATCATACCCTGGGCTGCATCCAAAGCGCATCCAGCAGGGTGAGGGAGGGGAATCTTCCCCTCTACTTCCCTCTGGTGAGATCCCACCTGGAGCACTGCATCCAGCTCTGGGGTCCCCAGCACAGGCAGTACATGGTCCTGCTAGAACAGTCTAGAGGAGAGCCCCACAGAAGGTCAGAGGGCTGGAGCAGCTCTCCCTGAAAACAGGCTGACCTGGGGTTGTTCAGTCTGGAGAAGAGAAGGCTCCATGGAAGACCTTGGAGCAGCCTTCCAGGACCTGATGGCAGCCCACAGCACAGCTGGAGAGTGACTTTTTACAGGAGCATATAGTGACAGGAGAAGGAGGAACAGCTTTAACAACTAGGGCAGGTTTAGATCAGACATTGGAAAAAATTCTTTACTGTGAGGGTGGTGAAGCACTGGAAGGTGATGCTCAGAGAAGCTGTGGTTGTCCCTAGAGGCGCTCAAGACCAGGTTGGATGGGGCATTGAAAAACATGATTTAGTGGATGGTGTCCATGCCCAGTGCAGGAGGGTTGGAACTAGATAATCTTTGTGACCCCTTCCGACCCAAACCATTTTGAGATTCTAATACTCCATAAAGAATTAAATAAGAATTATTTTTCTTTTTAAATGAGGGATAAGTGTGGGCTAAGACGACACTAAAAATAACCCAATCCAGAAGCTAGCAAGATTAATGGGCAGAAAAGCAAGAAAAATGTGGTTTTTCAAAATACAAAAAGTCTGCTTAAAAGCTATAGCTGAAAGTCCTTCTTAGGTTTACAGGACTAGTTTCTAACACAACATACTGAAAAAACTGCAGCAGGTAAGAAGTATATCCATGAGTAATCAACCAGATAAAGACAGAGTAAATATTATTTTTTAAAAAAGGAATATTAATATTTTAAAACTAAAGAGTAATATTTTTATATATAAGAATATTTATATTTTTGTTTATTATGCTGTAGTAGTAATAACGTAAAACAAATCAAAATCAGTTTTTTGGTAACAAATTCTTAGCCATTCCTCAATAATAATAACAAAATCAAAATCTCATTAGTAAAACTTTCTAAAAGAACATTAAAAAAAACAATTTCCCAGAAGTTTCAGCTTTCTCTACCCAGGGACCTGTTATGTCTGAGCCCTAAAATACTGTGCCTTATCAAACTAGGGACCTAGTTATGACCAGGACAAATCAGAAATGTCTGTACAGAAAGCACCTTGAAAGAAGAGCAGTTGCATCGATATATTCTTGTTCTTGGTAGCAGCAAAATCTCCAAGGATATCCAGCTCTCCAACATCCTTTTCCTCCTCTGGACAACTTCAGAGCAGAAAACATCTTGTCCTCCATATTCTATAAAGCATGAAAAAGCATTGAGTTTTCATTTTTTTCCTAGTCCCAAATTTCATATTTAAATAATTTTCTTCCTAGCCTAGCCTGGGATCAGATTATGTATCTATTTAGTCTCAACCAGTTTTTACCTGCCAGTTACTTGTTTGCCACTTTTCCCTCATCATAACCGCATCTCCACAGCTTCTTTCATCACCTGGAAATTGCATACAGCAGGGCTTAAAATACTTCCATTCTCATGACAACAGAAATCAGCACAGTTTTCTTCACAGAAGTTCCTTTTCCTTCATAACACCTCCAAATCCCCTACAAAGAGAGAAAACAGAGATGATGTGACCTTAGATGAGGGATTCCACGAGTGATACAAGAGCTGTCTATCTTTCCATTCTGGTTGTGGCACTGCACAGGGAGACATTCATCATAATGGGTTTGTTGAACAATAATAATTGCTGATAGTAATTAAAGCAAGCAAGATACCACATGGGCAAGGTCGAAAAGTTCCTATCATTAAAATCAGAAAAAAACAGTGATAGTTTACTTCTTACATATATATTAAATATACAAAAAAATACTATAGAGAGTCAATAATGACTGCCATATTGCACTAGTTTTTTTATTATTTCAGAGTTCCATTATTATCCTCTAATGTTCAATGAAGATTTTGCTCCTACTGATTTTTATTCTATATAAAATAATATTTTCCTTTTATTTAGTGGGAAAAAAGTGAGATCAACATTATTTTTATTTAATTGTGCAAGTTTTCTAAAATATTATTGGATGTTATTATTTATATGAAAAATCTATCAGTGAAGTTCTACTTTCTTGTGTGTTTCAGTTGTTTTGGGAATAAGTTATTCTTGGATGCTAAGCTATTATTATAATATCTCAGTTTTCAATATGACAAAGTTACAAAACACTAGCCAACAGAAAAGACTTCTCATTTTTTAGCCTTCAATTCTGAAAGTTAACGTCTAAAAGGATTTCACAGATATGTCTTATATTTGCCCTGAGGCATCAGTTCATATTTCAGAAATTATCTACTTTAGAAAATTCAGTTATCCCTATGTTCTGGTGCAGAATGTAGAAAAGAATATTAAAAAAAAAGATCCATTTTGGGAAAATTTACCCTCTTAGAACAATGCTCATGAAAGAACATTAAAAACTACAAATATAAAAATGTTTACATGTGCATATGTACATACATAGTTGCATATACACACACATGCATATGTAGTCCTCCTGAAGACTGAAGATTACAGAACATGTCTTCTCCTTAATTATGATTTATCATGAAAATGTTTTCATTCTGACTGTCCCATTTCATTGAAATACAGGCACCTCAGCTGCCTCAACAGCTGCAGAGAAAGTGTGTGGTCATTTCAGTGGCCATTATTTCTCTGCAAATTTAGCTGTGGGAAGTAACAAGAACAAATTTTCTCCCAGTAAAAAGAAGCCACATATTTGCAGACAACTTGTCTCACTGATGGTTTTTAGAGGATATAAAAAATACAATAACCAAGACTGATTTAAACTACAGAGAGCACTGGAGAAACTGTGTATAGATCCCCCCTTGATGGAAACAAGTGTTGTCTCAGCGCCATCCATCCATGTCCACACATGACACAGCTCACACATACTTCAGTTGTTTCAGCAGATTTTGGTAGATAATATCATTTTCAGTCAGACTTGGAGCCAGAAGGTCTTCTCCATTTAAAGGAATGTTATCCAAACAATGTTGCAGAAAAATATTAACCAAATAATGCACACTAATAATAAAAGGTCAAAAACTACTCTTTCACTTAGTTCTAGAAATAAAACTGGTTTTCAGCTGCCCAGGATATATATAGGAATACACCTGTGAGGACTTCCACCCTAACCATAAAAAAGGTATCTCCATTAAAAAATAATATTGGTAATATTCTGTCTGTTTTATACATGTGTTGACCTCTGTGCTTACTATGAGGAGAAGAATAAAACAGAAAGATATAATAGATGACTAGCAACAACTTCCTACCTGCTCTCTTCAGAATACTTGTTGACTGATAAAACTTCCTGATACTGGAAGAGGGAATTTTTTTCTCTTTTATATTTAAAGTAATGACTGTATTTTCTTTTAAAGGGTTTGAGATTGGTGTTTATCCAGCTAAGCATGTTTATTAACTAATCTGCTGAAGTGATTTCCTCTCCAAGCAGCAGCAGGGTCCAGCTAGAAAAAGGGTGACAGAATCAATTATTGCCAACAATATTCACCAGCTAAAGTCACTCTGCTTACACTTTCTTCTGTTTTATTTGAGAATATTTTCTTAAAACTGTGGTTTGGTTGCAGGTTTATTGTTTGTCACCCATCTACCACCTGGATCACAGTGTCAGGGGCAGATCCAGTCATACTGTGAGCAGGACCAGTGTCACAGAAATGCAGCTGCAATCAGGTCAGGTGGCACGAAAGAGTAGTGCTAATTGGAGGGGCTGTGTTTGGCTTATCCACCCCAAATAAATCTACCCCTGGGTAATCCTTTGTTTTATGCCTGGAAGACAGGTTCCTGTGTAAAAACCTTTAAAGGAATCCTGAGAGTGTGAGGTAGATTTAAGGATGATATTTTGCTGGTTTTATTTTCATCAAAGACTTGCTCTCCTGACCTCACTGGCTTCAGGAAAGACTTTTTGTTGTGTTTTAGTCACTCTGAGTATAGGTGGCAGAATCTGGGCCAAAAGGATTTAAGCAAACTTTTGGGTTTTCTTATTATTTGAGTCATGTTATTACTGCTTTCCCTTTTAACACTGGGTTTAAATTCAAGTGTCATTTCCAAAGAAACAGCTACGATAATCTGTGGTGAGCTGATTAATAGCACTTACGCAAATTTCAATGACCACAAAGTTGTGAATGTGTCTGTGTGAGTGATCTACTTCTTATAAAGTAAATGAGTCTTCTTTCACATATTTAATAATACTCAGAATTCTCTTCTCCTCCCCTTCCTCTCTGCATTAACTCTGAAGTCCTCTCTTTCTCTCTCATTTGTTGTTGTTGTGGCAAAGTTATTTTTTTCTACACTATTTCCACTCACCCACAGTTAATCATTTATGGTCTTTTCCACTGCAAACATGCAGAAAACACGTAAAAAGGAAGTCTGTTATCACACAATCAGCAACTCCGATTACAGCTTGATCAGAATTGACATCACTGTGGTTTCATTAGTAATATTAGATAAGTGCAAACCATTTTCAATCTCTTTTTTTTGTCTTTTGCAAAGTCAAAGGAGATACTCACCCTGCCCCAGCTGGTTCTGTTTGACAGTGACAGGACTGCATAAAGGATTCTTTTCACTTACCATCTCAAGACCATTTTACATGCCAAACAAATCAAATCTACACATCTCTCACCATCTTTATCAACCTGCCCAGGCAAACGGTTTGGAGCATTACAACCTTTGACTTGTTAACTCATTTTTCTCTCTTTACAGCCTAAAGCAACACTTAAAATGTAGAGGATGTACGTGCAAACAAGTAAGTTTTGCAATGTAAGTACTGGGATAGAGAAATTCTCCCACTGACAAGATCTGACGATGAAGATAATGTTCGCACCCTGTGTTTCATCTTGCACTGTCTACCTAAGTTTAGCAGATATACATAAACCAATTTTTTGCAGTAAAAATAAAATAAGTACTTATCCCAGGATACTTTTATTTTATTATTGATATTTTTAATTTTTTATTTATATAGTTAAAAAAAGAGGAATGATAAAAAGTGCTCTCAAGTGGGGAATCCTGGATCCCTTAGAAAAATAGCTTTTTGCCTAGGAAAATTATCTTTATTTATTTTAAAACATCTATTTTTAATTATAAAATGCTTCTTCAACACTGTTAAAAAGAAATGGGCCAGACCTTGACTACAAATATGATTCTTCAAATTTGTCTTTTTGTAAGAATTTTTTTCTGCTCTTGACTTTTGTGAAGACCATCCTGAGTTCCAGTAAAAACCTGTTTTTCCCTAAGATGTTTCCTGCTAGACTGAATCAGGAATGTACTTTCACAGACTCACAAGGAGCAAGGCATTCTTTTTGAGGAGCCTGAGAAAACCCAGAGATCCTGGCAAAGGGAGTTGAAACTATGATCAGCTTAGAGCAAGGCTTGGGGAAAGTTTTTTATGGCTTATGGGTACTTAAGCGTACACCTACAGGCATGTTTGGACAGTGAATGTAACCATTCAACATCTGATGGCTAAATTAAGATATTGTTTGCTGTGAGATGGGAAGATTGATCAGGAGATTAAAGATTCTGTGCCTTGACTGGTTTTTTCATCTGTCTCCTTGGGTAGTTTCTACTGTCCTTGTCAGAGAGGGCACATGGGATTAGATGGAGCAGGTATAAACTACTGTGGTACCTATTCTGGGCTTGGTCCAATTGAACTCCAAAGCACAACATCACGAGGAAGGATATTTGTAGCATTGCAAGATTATACCCTGAAGTCATACTTTAGAGACTCAGAAGACTAATGGATGTTCTTGTACCAAGCTGGCTGGGAATTTGAGTGGGATCCCATGACAGGTCCAATTTAAATATGCAAGCGGTCATGCACTAGGCAGTCAGCCTCATCTGTGCTACTTATATCAGTAATAATTAAACTGTTAAGTGAAGAAACTTTGGAAAAAGAAGACAGACTGGATGTAAAATAACATTAAGTTTTCATTGTATTATTTGGCATAATATTTCATTCAGTGAAATGTATATGTTAAATCTTTCATGGAATCTGTATTTGTTCTATGAAGAAGAGAGGGATGGAAAGTTCCTTCTTTCCATAAAAGGAAGGAAAGGAAATTAGAGAAGATGAAACATTGATTCTGGATAAATATAGAATTTAGTCACATATGGAAATTATTTAGAGATAGATGAATATTCAGTCTGGCTAGGTTACTGCATGCAGAAAAGCAGCCTTCCTCCACATCAGCTCTAAAGCAAAACAACAAAACACAGTCCAGTTTGTCCTGCCTTGACAAGGAGAAAGGACATCTGGAGGTTTCCCATGGGAATATTCTTTTCCTCAAAATGAGGGACTTGAAATACCAGGAAAAGAAGTATAGAATTCAAATGGCAGAGTGAAATCTACTAAAGGCAAACACTGCAGTCCCAAATAAAGCACTGGTCAAAGTCAAGAGAGCAGAACCAAGACCTCTGCATGAGGTAAAATGAGCACACTTCTGTACTCCCATTAACTTTAAAATCCCAGCTGGATATAACACCTGTGCAGACACTGCATCTCTTCCTTACTCATATCTTTCCATAATCACCTCCTTTCATTT